AGAATTCCACTGGCCTTTCTGGCCACCTGGGCACGCTGCTGGCTCATGTTCAGCTGCTGTCAACCAGCAACCCAGGTCGTGTTTCACTGGGCAGCTTTCCAGCTACTCTGTCCCCTGTAGCCTGTAGCGCTGCTTGGGGTTGTTGTGACCCCAGTGCAGGACCCAGCACCTACACCTCGTTGGCCCTCATAAAACTGGCATCAGCCCATGGATCCAGCCTATCCAAATCCCTCTGCAGACCCTTCCTACCCTCAAGCAGACGAACACTGCCACCCAGCTTGGTGTTGTCTGCAAGCTGACTATAGGTGCTCTTGATCCCTTTGTCCAGATCATCAATAAAGACATTAAGCAGGACTGGCCCCAACACTGAGCCCTGGTAACATCACTTGTGACTGGCCTCCAGCTGGCCATAACACTGTTCACCACCACTCTTTGGGCTCAGCCACCCAGCCAGTTTTTACCCAGTGAAGAGTACATCCATCCAGGCCACGAACAGTCAGTTTTCTCCAGGTGTCAAAGGCTTTGCTAAAGTCCAGGTAAACAATATCCACAGCTTTTCCCTAATCGGGTCACCTTGTCACAGGAGACCAGGTTAGTCAGATGGTCAGGAAGGCAGGGGGTGTTGCTGCTTGTGAGCCGACAGTGGTTGTGCCACTCACCCCGTTCCTGCTTTCCATTTGTGACTGGGTATCCTTCTAAACCCTACCTTGGCTTAGAGCTACGGGACCTCGGCAGCAAGACGAGTGCAGGGCTCACCCCCTGAGCCCCCGTGGAGCCGGGGTGTGCTGTGCTGGGTGGCTGGAGGCACACCTGCCCGGGCGGGCACTGGCAGCAAGCCTCACCTGTGGTGCAGGGGGCCCTCGGTGCCACGGCAGCCATCCCACGCTGTGCCACCAGCCTTCTCTCTTTAATCAGGCTTTTCATCAATCAGCACTTGGGACAAAGCACAGGCCTGAAGAGTAGATGATGCCTGCCAATGTTTTCTGATCTTTTGTGGGTGACTCATTTTTTGGGCAGCCTGCCTTCCATGAGGAGGAGAAGGCAACTACCAGGGAAGGGAGGTGGGAAGATTCAGATAACTACAATAAAGATAATTCCAGATTATTTGTCAGGATAACTCAAGATGTCTATCATTATCAATAATTTCGGTCTCTGAGGTCTGTGCAGTTATGAGAGAAATGAAACTTGGCCTAAGGTTTCCCTGGCTTTCAGTAGGTTTGATTGTTGGCTTAAATATGCAGTTGCTGTGAAGTTGCTGTCTCTAATAATCTTACATTTATCTTTTTTCTTGTGTTTCTCACAAGTCTTTTGACATTCCTTGCTCAGGAGTAATCCCCACTAAACCTTAAGTATGTGTCAGTACTCCGAAGGAAAAAATCTGGGAGTAAAATCTAAAAGATAAACCATAAGGTGAAAAACAGATGATTAATTGCAACTAAGTAGGTAAGAAGAATGTCATGGAATACCAGTACTTCTCAATTATTTAAACTTAATCAGGAGCATATAAATCACTGTATCTTAGCATGACACCTTCCTGTACCACTAAGTCTCTCTCAAAAAATGTATTTTAGGTATTGGTCTAAAGAGTGTTCTAAGAGAGTAGGGCAACACAAGCCAGAACAGTGGTAAGATGAAAGGATTCAAACAAAAGTTATATAGTTAATTAACAACATAAAGCTACATCAAGAGCCTTGAATGAAATTTGAAAAGTGCAGGCTGGATTCTTAGCTGCTTAAATTGACATAGCACCATGGCTTTGTGGAGCTGATCCACCTTGCACAGAATGTCTTGCAACCTTGCATCTATCTAAGGTGCCTTGGGCCTCTTATAGAAACAATAAAGGAGAAAACCAAACAAAAACTGTTCAATTCAATCCAATAATGGCTTGACTATATTGATAACTAAATGAAGCTAATTAGAAACTTTTTGTCTGACCTAACTCTTTATTATGATAAAGGCTTTTTGTTGTGCAAACTGATTAGTAGACCTTATTCTCTGTCATTTATATTTACTAATCTAGATAGTCAAAAAGTGCTGATGAATAACACATGGGCTCTGAAACTCATCAGTATGGAGAGGACAGAAATCATAGACATGTGAAGTAAATAAGTACAACGTGCCAACATTTTCCAACCTTATGCGTGCCATTTTATAAGTTTGATCTTAAGTTACTCTTCCCACTGCAGCCATGTTGGCACCATCAAAAGCAAGAAACTTCTGAAATAATTTTGTCCTGATGTCAGAGTGCACGCTAAGCCCTGGGAGGTGCTGCTGTGTTTTATGGAGGGAGGCAGGAAATTGCCTCTTCCTGGACCAGCCAGACAAGCTGTCGGCAGTATGTGGGCTCTTTCTAGCAGCTTCCCCAGAGGAAACAGGGTAGGATGGGAGCCCATGGAACCAGGAGGGATTAGGTGCAGGTGACACCTACGTTTTCTGTGTGGAAGGCAGGAAATGCTAATGGGTGAGGAGGTATTTGTTGGGGGTCAGCAGCAGAGAGGGCACCGGGAGAGATGATAGTGAGAAGGCCCCAGTGGGAAGTGCTGTGCCAGTCCAGTACAACAGCACCTGGGGAGATACTGGTGCCACAAGACACAAGAGTTTAGGTATCTCAGGTGCATCTAGGCTGCAGGCAAGAGGAGGCATCTCCAGGTGTTGACTCCAGCGCAGCTCCAAATTCTTAGGAACAGATTAAAATCTGAGCCTCTCTCTTGGATCTCAGCCCTCGCAACCTGTTTCTCCTCCCAAAGCAGTTGATGTTGGGATTCGGACAAGACTTTTCAAGTTTTCCTTATGGAGATGTGGCTGGTGGTCACACACTATGCTCTGGCAAGCCCTACAGCCTGCTCATGGGATGGGAGGCAGGGAGGGCATGGTCCCCCTTCGCCGCTCCACATCCCCATGAGCCCAGGGCTACCAGGCAGAGGAGAGGATGGGCTAACGTCTGCAGGAATGGCAGAAGGGCTCTGACAAGTGAAAAGGCTTTTACTGATCTGAGGGCTGTGGCTACGTAAAGGATTGTCATGTTCCAGAATGAAAGGCTGGGCGTCATGTAGACCTACTGCCTCCCAGTCTTTCTGTACAACTATACATATGTGAGTAACACATATTTACGTGCACCTGTAAGCTTTTTACACGGAGACAAAGACTGGCTATAAACCAGAATAGAAATGCAGATATTTAGGGAATAAAAACTGGAGTTTAGAGAATGAGAGCAATGGCACGAGAAATGGTTTCCTTCAGCTCCTGATGCCCTGTAGGTTGAAATGAGCTATCTGAAGACTTTTCGCCGGAGGTGCACTGGAGGACGACTGTCAGCATAGGTGCTACAGTGAAAACGTGTTATTTGTATGAGATAGGGTAAAAAGAGTCAGGAAGACTCCACGTCTCTGCCACGCTGTCCTACAGATGTGACCCTTTCATGCACAAGGCTTTTTGTTTATAGGAATAAACAAAAAGGGACTAGGAGAGCAGGATCTGAAATGTTCAGTATTTTCCTCAATCTTGTCAAAAGCAAAAACTGAAGTCGACAAAAATAATTTAATACATAATCATTATTTCCCACACAGAAATTATGGCTAGATTGGTAAAAAGCATTTTCACTTAACCACTCTCCCAGACAATACACAGTTCAATGGCCAAGCACTAAGAAGTGACAGTGCTTCTCCCAATAAAATTGGAGCAGTACTACAGTGTGTAAAAACCATTGTAGCTGTGCAATCTCAGACTCCCTCACCTTCTCCTCCTACACATGCATGGTCTGTAAAGGATGCAGGTATTGGTGAGACAGACAGGAGCATGCAACACGAGCCTGGACACCCCAGGAAAACTCTAAACCCGACCTGCTTCATGGTTCCCCATGCCCTCCTGGACAAGCCACCTGATCTCTCCTCTGAGGAGATACCAAGAGCTGCGTGAGCTCCTTACCTCCTGGAAATGTTGGGAGGATGCAATCTTCCATCTGCAGGGCACGCAGGTCCTGCCACCACGGAGATTCACTAGTCAGACACACCAAAGCAAACACACCAGTGAACAGAGCAGCGAATTTGTACAGATGTAAGGTGTTGGTTGTGTAACAGCCCAGGTGATTTACGTTTGCTATCTACAGATAGGGATGAGACATGGGTTGCCTGCAGCTTGCATGCTCATACATGCACACCCGGAGGGGGACTAAAGCAGAGCCCTTGGAGCTCAGTCAAGGCAGTGATTCAGAGGCAGAGCAGCACGTGTAGGGTAGGTAGCTGCTAGCCAGGTACTTGTTGGGTGGGCTTGGGCTAATTAAGCTGATTGGAGAAAGGAATCAAGGATCCAGGAGCGAGAAGAGAACAAAAATGCAAGTCAAAATTCAGTGTCTGCTGACTTGATGCGTAATTTTATGGCAGTTTACAGACCTGTGTGTGAGAACAAAGTGGAAAGCATCTATTTTTATGTTGTGGAGGGATGCTGAGCTGAAGATAAGACTTAGTTCATGAAACACAGTTTGGCTTCTTTTTAGTCTTAACCCACCTCCTGCTACACACTCCTCTGTTCAAAACACCACACATCTTCATAACATTGCCTGTGTGCGGGGTAGCCTTGTTTTGTTACAGGACTGGGTTCAGGGAGGAAATTGGTTTCTGATGCTCAGAATGGCTTTGTAAATGAATGATGAATGAAGATGCAGGCAAACTGGGAGATACAGGGAAGAAATTGATAAATAGAAGAGAATGCTGTGGAAAAAAACCAAGAGGATCTGAATTACTTACACAAAATACACCAGTAATTTGTGTGCTTGTTGTGAGGTATCAATGGCATCTCTCTCTCTCTGCTGCACTGAAACATGCTTTATATACACAAATAAAGGAAACTGCCATCCACCCCAGTGTTTTTGTTAGTTTTAGAGAATCCCCACATTTAATTTCCAAACTTGAAAGGAAATAAGGAATCTAGAGCTCTAGAGATCACTGCTGTTTCCTTTCAGAGCAATTCTGCATGTTTGACATCTTATCTATTGTTTATGTCAGGCAAACAGAGACTGGACAACACAGAGTGGGCTGCAGCGGTGAGACGGCGAGTGAATACCTATGAGCCTCGGTGATTCATCATTCCAAGGAGCTCTTGCTTTAATCACAGAGGGCTGCCAGATGAGGAAGACCATGAGGATTTATGACTTTGGGGCAGAGTGACATCTGTCCTAGGCGTTCCAACCCAAAGCTACAAATCGATGCTTTTATTAGAAAGTGACGGCATTCGTGGTGAAGGGTTGAACACCCAGACGCTCCCCAGCACAAAACTGCCGTGTGAAAGAGCAACCCCTGCTTGACCCACGGAAAAAATCAATCTCAAATTAAAGCTTTTCAACGGCTGAGAGATCCATCTGCAGGATCTTCTCTAGCTAAGGTGATCTCGCCTTTCTGAGTGTTGGGCTTCCTGTTTTGTCACAGACATGAGAAGTGTGGAGTTTAGTGCTAGGACACTGTAAGCAGCAATTAGCCATGAAGCATCGCCCAGTGCTGCCGTCATCCCTCCATGGTCACTTTGTCTCACTGCTCCACTTTCAGAGAGACCTTTTTACCCCCCATTCTGCTGTTTTAGATGATGTTTGGTGTCTGCGTCACGTTTTACATAAGACTGATGCTCCCTCCACAGCTGCACTTCTCCTCTACCACAACCAGCTGGGTCCTGTCAGCAAGCAGCAGTGCCTACAGGTCATGGAAAAAGGGAAGCTTCCCTCAAAACTTGTGGTGGGAGTGTACAGCTAGAAATTAAGAGACTTGGGCTCTATCATCCCTTGCAATATTCACATGTGCGGGTGAATAGTTTGTTATCTCTGTGACTTGGTCTCCCCATCTCTGAAATGGAAAAGTTACCTTTCTGGAGCGATTATTAACAAAAATGGATTTGAGGCTTTCAGCCATGAGGAGATATAAAAATGCAAGTTATTAATATGGGCAACAGCCGTGGCCTGATTACACTCAGAAATAAAGAGAATGAACTAAAAGAGGGACATAGTTAATGCTTTCATATCTCCTACTGCACATCCCTCTGTATAAACCAAGAAATGCATTTTATTTTAGCAGCGGGACCTGCTCTGGTAGAGCAGGGAGGTACAGGGGGACCTTCTGCAGGGCCCTCTCCCAGACTGACCTGCTCCAGCAGAGGTGATACCTGCCTTCTGGCCTCAAAGAAATTTCCATGGCAATCATGTCACCTTTCCAGCCCTATTTTAATCACTTTAAAGCCGTGAGCCTTTCCAGCCTTCAAACACTCAAATCGCTGAGATGTGTCAGCCCATACCTGCTGCAAGGACTGAGCCACGTGGCTGCTGAGGTGACCATTACAGAGCTCCATCAGGGTAGTTTAGGGCTGGATGATTGTTCTGTTTGATTTGGGTTTTCAGTAGCTGTAAAAACAGCACAAATACTTCCTTTCCTACTGCATGTCCTGCAGTTATTTGTAGAAAGCAAAGTCAGGGGCGGTTATGTTCACAAGTCGATGCCCATTTTGTCGTCACAAATCTGTGGAGCTGAGAGCTGATACAGGATAATGGACACCTGGTGCTGCAAAGGCGATGCTTTTCTTCAGAGAGAACACGAAATCCTGTGTGAAGCCCATTATGCCACCGTGGTGTCTGCCTTGCTGCCTCTGAGGAATGCTTGGAAAGAGGAGGGTCACCACTCTCAGAGCTGCTGGAGGCTGCCACTTCTCACTCTGCACTAGTTGACTGGGCTATCATTAGCTGGTAGGAGACCAAGCAAAACGCTCACCTCCTGAGAAAGGCAACCTGCTCAAAGCCTTAGGGCTGTTTTGTAATAACACTCTGCTACTAGGCTCCATTTGCTTTCAAGGGTGATAAGAAATGAAGCATTTGGGGAAGGAACTTTTGAGGAACTCAACCACTTGAGCTTTCATTGCAACCTCATGGCATAATTTTACCATTTTATTAGGAAATACTGCTATCTTTTTCTTGAACTCAAATCAATCAGAAAGGTACCATCAGTAACCAGAATCACCATTCAAGTTTCTGTATGGAAGTATCTTCACCTGAAACTTCTAAAATGTTATGCCAAAATGTTGGTATAACATATTCATACTTCTACTTTCACTTCTGCAGTGGGTCACTCTACCCACTACATATGCTATTTCTGAGGATGTGATTTTTTTCCATCATGGATGGGAAAGATGAGAACTATATTCCAAGTCATTACTGTGGCTTTACTCAGTTATCAAGGGAAAACATTAAAAATACTTTGACTCTTACGTAAAATAGAACAGTATCAAACACATACTTTTATTTTCTCTTCATTTCTACGTGACAAGTCAGCAGCACATTTGAAGTTCCTACAGTAATGTGAAACACATTCTATCATTTTCTTTGGAAAAATATTTCCTGTGGTGTTGCCTCTATATGTGCAAGGCAATTGTTTACATGGCTGGTTCCTAAGCTCTATACATTTGCATCTGAAAGATCAGAAAAAAATGGACAAGCTTGAAAATGTCATCTCAGTTGGGACTTTGGATCACAGAAGGTTCTTAATAATGACAATGGTTCTTGGGATAAGATGATGGAGAGTTTGAAAGAGAAAAAAAAAGGTGATATTGTCAAGACATCCCTGGTGACTTTAAGGAGAGTTTTGCAAAGATACAACAGAGCTGATGGTGCTGTGGACTGTGATACTCCAAACTTTTTATCAGCTTAGCACTTCTGGTCTGGAGAAAATCTGAATTTTGCCTGTTTCCTGCTCTCTGAAAGGGGATGAATAAACAGCCTTGGAAAACAACAGACTCCAAAATCTGCCATTAGAGTATTTCTAATGTTTTAAGGACCTGAGATCCAATCAGGGGGTGTAGTTAATATTTCAGTAACATACCTCATACAGTTTTCTTCACTTCTTAACCTCCAACTTGGTACAACACTTGCAACATGTAGTGTCATGGACAGGCACCAAGAATGCTGCACATACAATAGGAAAAATGCAGCAGTGACACATACATATCTACAGCTGTGTATGTGCACACATGCTTCCATTCAGGTGAGCTCAGGCAGCCTGAATTTCCCAGGCTGACGTGTTATTTACCCTTCTCTCAACCTTGGAAGATTTTTCCTGGAGCTCATAACCTGCCCCTCTCTAACAAGGCTGGGTCTGGGGAATGGACCTTCCTGTGAGTATCTTCCATCAGGCTCACCTTCCATCCCAGGTGGTGTTAAGTAAACCCTAGGAACTGAACTCTTGAACTCGACCTTTGTACCCAAATACCTTCATAAATAAATGCTTGGGTAACAAGGGAGGAGAAGATGGAAGGATTCAGGAGAAAAACAGCACATGCAGAACTCAGCTGAGCTGTCTGGTCACTACATCCTTACACAAAGGTGATTGGAGAGGTTTCCTGATGGATGACATCATTCACAAGAGCTCTGTCTGTAGCTGTCAGCACAGAAAGAGGTCCTTAAAATTCCAGGAGCTGAAGCCTTGCAATCCATCAGGGAAAGGAACACAGACATCCACCCTCCCCCTTGGCCAGCACAGGAGCCCAAACGGTGAGCATAAGTCACAATCATTTTGTTTGTGCAGAACTCTTGGCCATGGAGTCACAAAGAGTGCCTGGGTTACTGTGTGCACACTCTTGTTTGTACTGACAAGTATATCTGTACACAGGGACTCCCAGACTCCCGGTGTGCAGTGCTTTTCCTACCTGGCAGCAAACTGGTCAGAGGGAAGATGCTGCTGCCTATGGTGGGATCACTCTGACACGGAGTACAGTGCATTCCTAACTGTGAAAATGATTGATTTCATAGAACATTTTGGAAATGAGATAAGTGTTGTGCAGGCTTCCATTTGTAGGCATTCAAGTACAGTTGTAACCCAATTAATTTTTCTTTCTCTCTTTTGATTGTCATCCGTCACATAGGGTGCAGAATAGAAATGGTTTTTGTCTGCCTTTCTTTGGATCTCAGCAGCCTTAATTTTTAATTGAAAGCCACGCTTACACCAAGAAGCCAGACAAAACGGATTCAAACTTCACTTCTTTCACTGAGCTTTGAGTACTTTATATTAGTTTAGACTAAAATAAAAAAAGTGATGCATGCAATGCACTCCCTCTTCAGAATGTTTGGGGAACTTTACAGATAAGACCCACCTTTTCTCCCTGCAGCCCTTGGTTACTTGGTCTGATTCCCATCCTGCCCATGCTGGCTAAACACAGATCAGTTCCTAGCAGAATAAACAGCTTTTCTCAGTCAGTACAAAAGCCTGTGACTTCTTTGCCCGAATTCTAAATTCTCCACAGGTTACACCTGTGGCCAATATGGCCTGAGGGATAAAGCAACATGAAAGCAGGTCATTACTTGAGTAAACATGAGACGATGCCATGAGAAAGCATTTGGCTCATCAGGTGGCGGAGAGAAACAGCAGCATTATTCTGCTTCTCTCCTTTTCTTCATCAAGATGGGCACCACTGGCCGTTTTTCACATCACACAGCTGTCCTCCCCCACCCCCCTATGGATGAAGCTGTGGTTTTGGGAATGATGTAATCCAAGCAGGCATTTGGGCTCAGCGTCTTTTTCTCCCGCTGGTTTGAGGCACCAGCCGGGGAACGCTGCAATTAGCAGGACTGGCATTTCAATGCAGAGAACACAGGGCAGTTGGCTGAGCACGGGTCACCTCATCATCCCCCGTTTACACAGGGGAAACCAAGGCAGAGGTGTCCAAGTTGAGGCACGTGCAGTGCCACAGCTCAGAGTCCCCATCACTTAATTTTGACTTCTCCGGGCTGAAGGGGAGCTACCTGACGAAGGGAGAGGACTGGGGTGGGTCTCCAGCCCCCTTCACACAGCCAGCCCCCAGGCTGGCAGGATCTGCTTGCTGACCTTTCCAGGAACGGGGCTGCATGTCTGAGTGAAGACTCACTCAGATCAACCCCCGTGACTCTGGATAAATGAAACACTTCGCCGTCTGGCATATCACTCGGTTTCCCACGAATGGCACAAATAGTCACCGTGGCACGTACAAACACAAGGAATCTATTATTGGCGCCTCTTCCTTGGCTCGCCATCGTGACGTCCATCCTGGAGGCAAGTGTTAATGCCCTTATAAGGCTCCTTGCATACATTTAAATGTGTTATCCTTTGGCCGATGATACAAACTGCTATCTCAGTAGCATACGGCATGGGGAGGTGGGAGATTTTCTTGGCTCTGTGGTGAGAGAGAGAAATTAAAAAGGAGCCTACAATGCTGAGTCACTGTGACAAATAACTTACTATGGAATACATTCAGGCTTTAGCAAGGAGGCAGCTGATAGTGAGTCAGTGACTGACTAGTGTCTCCTAGATTTTCCTCCTTGGGAAAGATTCAATTTAATGGGATGAAGCGCCAGCAAAAAGTCGTTCTCACTTGTTGCCGAGTCAATATCCCTAATTACACACATGGTTAAAACTGTCAAGTTATGTTATATGTCACAGAAGATGTGCATTTTTTTGTGTATAGCATCCCCCTGTTAAAAAGCAGTTCAACATGTCCCATTAAAAACACTGGTTTTCAGAAGCTGGAAATTTTGCCAAACTTCAACTGTTTGGCTGTGTTAATTCAAGCCTCTCCTCTCTTTTGGCTCAACTTTGCAGGCTTATGAATGTCCTCTTTAATGTTCTGGTTTAGCACTCCATGGCACAATTTAAACCAAAATAGATAGTTTTGTGTTAAAAAAAGCCTTCCAATTGCAAAATGGGTGAATATTTGAGGCAGAAGGTAGATGTCACAATTCTTTCATTACCAATGAAGTCAAATTTGTATTTGCTTAATCACAGCCAAATTTGTGTATATCTTTCTCCCACCCCTGTCCAGTCTGACAAACCCATGCCTGACCAGGGAAAGAGGATCTCACCCAAAGTAGTAGCTCACTCAGGACCACGGACCCAAAGGAGGGAAGCAGAAAGCAGCTTTGGGCAGCTTTGTTCTAGTCCCTTTCCCCTGGACCCCAGGTCACATATGTGCCAGTGAAACAGCAAAAACATTAGGAAACAAAGCCTCCCAATGTCTGAAAAGCTGCAGTTAAACCCCTTTCCTATTCATTCACCTCCTCTCTGTGCACACTGCCTGGCACAGCTGCCAGTTAAATTCTCAAATATTCATGCAATCTCCTACCACCCTGTGACTGACACTGCTCCCTGTAGGAGATAACTTGCTGTCTTGCTGAACGTAAAAAATACGGAAAACAGTTAAAAGGCAATGTTGTCACCCCAGAACCAAGCACCAAAGCCTTTTTAGCCAGCCAGGGGCATCAAGGGACTCAAAAAATATGATCCCTCCCGTGTTGCCACCAGGCTGCTCACCCAGCTGATGTTCCTTTCATACTTGCCTGTGCTCTTGCTTTCAGAGAGACCCCGCAGCACCAACTCTGAAATTCCTAAGATACCATGCTAACCATTATGTTATGGGGAAGATTTATAACTATTCCCAAGCAGACCACAACCAGGTGGAAAGAATTTCCTATCTTCCACTTCCACCTGCACTCCAGGAGGAGACATGAGGTTCAGCCTGGCAAGGGGAACATTTTCCCCCAAGTAATTCCAGCTGAGACACTGCAGTCAGGCTGCCCTTTCTGAGCACAAGTATCATAAACTCTGTAACATAAAGTATCATAAAGCAACTGTTTGCTTAAACTGTTAATTAGCAGGTGAAGTATGCTAATGCTGTTCTATGCTAAAGATTGGCTGCTAAAATTTTACATCTGTTGTTCAGCTCATATGAGCTACAATGGTCCAGTTGCCAGTGAATGGGGTTCATAAAGCTAGTCAAATATTGTTGTATGATATTTTTGTTTGTTTCTTGGACAAAAGCATATTTTTTTTCCCCCTAAATGAAAGCTTTTCTTGAGAAATGGTGAAGTCATCAACAATTTCACTGTGATTTCTTAGCCCAGTGCACCTGTCTCCAAGTCTGTAAGACAAAGGGCCTCCTTATTTCCATCACAGCTCTACTAAATCACATTACAAACCCCACTATTAAAGCAACTAGCATTCTTGATAAAAGGGCAGAGGGGCAGCCAAGGGCTTTTCCAGGCCAGGGAAGAGGCAAGTTTACAGGGCTACAGGGAACTACTCATTCCACCAATGCCAGCATTAGCTCATTTGTGGTTGCTGAAGGACCTTGGAGCCGAGCTATCATTTGCCCCAAGCTAGCGAAGTGGTCTTAAAGTGGATGTGAGCATATAGGTATGATCAAAAGAGTCTTCTTTTAAGGAAGAATGGTCTATCTGTGAAAAACCACACACAGACCCTGCTTTTAAAAGCACCAACTTCATACAATTTTGAAGAAAAAGAAATTAATAGTGTTTTTCTCTGTACACTTGTGAAGAGAGGCTCTCGAATGTGACCTTTCCAAAATGCCTGTCAATGATCAGCTGTAAAACAAGAGATCTCAGTAATATTTTTTTCTAATGCAGAGTAAAGAGCAGCCAACTTCCCATAGGAAAGGAGGAGGATTTTCTCAAACTAATTTTATTTCCTTATCTTTAGTCATCCGTTGAGAAGAAAACACTAAATATATTCCTCAGTCTACTCCTTCCAGTGATAGCTCGAAGGAGTAAAGAACCATATGGTCCTTCAGCTGATCTATACTGTCTCCATGACAATGCACATTTACAAAGTTTGCTTCTGACAACTTTGTAGTATGAGATCCAATCGCTTGTAATTAAGGGTACGAGGAAGCTTTTTGGGAGGGAAGGGCTGCTTGCTGCTGTGGCTGCTGGGCTTCCTTCCCACCCCTACTGGAAGGGGCTGCCTTTGGGTATGGGACTTTGGTGAGGCCATTCCACCCCTGCACAGAAATTCCCAGCCCTTCAGCTGCTGGAAATTAGTTTTGGTTCGGCCACGTCAGTCCAGTTCAACCAAGAAGCAGATACCTTTAGTTCCTTCAAGTTCCATATGAGTTTTAATGCACAAGACACCTTAAAAGGGCTTTTACTTCTCCGAAAATCTGGGATTTTCAATGTCCTCCTTGTCAAAGAATCTTTTGCTCATGCACTGTTTTAATTCTGTGAAACCAGGTTTCCCAAAAGTTCTCTTCTCTAGGCTACACCGGTGTCTTGAAACCATGACCTCCTGGAGCAGGGCAGGGGAGTGGAGCAGCAGGAACTGAGCATGGGTGCCCTGCACAAGAGCACCCACCATAACTGAGACACAGGCAGGGGGGAAGGGGGGAGCTGGTTGGCAGGGAGGGGAAACAACATCCCAGAAAATAAGGGGGCACAATTTACAAACAGGGAGGCTTAAGTGTCAGCAGTAAAAGCAAAAATTAGCAATTCTGAGATATGAAGGTGCACTGTTGGTGTCCACAAGGGAAAATTACAAGATTTGACAGCATCACTTTTTCAGGCCTTAAAAATATGATTCTAAACATAGACATTTCTTAAACTGGGGGGGGAGGGGGGATGCACGTCCTTGTTTGATCATCTTCCCTTTACTTAAGGCAGAGTGAAAGTTGGAAAACCCTGTGCTTAAGGTTTTTGCTCCTCCTTCTGGGCCAGCCCAGCTCACCTCAGCATGGTGGACCAGCACTTCTTCCTAGGCTTAGTGGGAACATCAGGAGGGGTGTCCCTAGCCAAGGCAGAAGGTCACATCCCCCCAAAGAAACAAGACCTCCCTGCCTGGCCATACCACCCTCTCTGCCTTGCAGGGACAGGGTATGGTGAACATCATCTGGGGTCCTGTCACAGCCTTCTCAGGATCCAGACCCAACAGGGCAAGCTGTGTCCTGAGTCCTGTGACTCTGCAGACTGGCCCCAGTAGCATTTTATTTGGCTTATTGGTGTTTACTGGTGTGCCCATGGCTGGCAGCGTGCTCTGGGACATGCACAGCCACCTGCAAAGGGAGAGGGAGCCACCCAGCAGAGCACTCAGGCTAGGGCACCTCTGAAATTTAAGGATCTTTTCCAAAATAGCATTCAGTGGCCAGGATCAAGAAATCATCCAAATGCACGCGGCCTCACCTTGAATCTTGTGTGCAGTTTTGGTGTCTGCAATATAAGAAAGATGTTAAGCTGTTAGAGAGTGTCCAAAGGGGGGCAATGAGGATGGGGAAGGGCCTTGAGGGGAAGCCGTGTGAGGAGCAGCTGAGGGCACTTGGTGTGTTCAGCCTGGAGGAGACTGAGGGGAGACCTCACTGCAGTTACAACTTCCTTGTTGTAACAAGGCAGAGGAGGGGCAGGCACTGATCTCTCCTCTGTGGTGGCCAGTGACAGGAATGGCCTGAAGTTGTGTCAGGGGAGGTTTAGGTTGGATATCAGAAGAAGGTTCTTCCCCTAGAGGGTGGTTGGGCACTGAACAGGCTCCCCAGGGCAGTGGTCACAGCACCAAGCCTGACAGAGTTCAAGAAGCATTTGGACAATACTCCTGGGCACATGGTGTGACACTTGGGGATGTCCCTGTGCAGGGCTAAGGGTTGGACTTGATAATCCTTGTGGGTCCTTTCAACTCAGCCTGTTCTGTGGTATCAGGGATAACCTGCCAGGAAATACAATCACTTTCTTGGGCTTTTACCCTTTGCAAAACACTGGGCAATATCTGTTCTGGGATATCTGGGAGCTATCCAGGAAAGACATCAGCCAAAAAAAAGTCATCCACTACCACTCTTCCTGCCCCACAGCTATATTAGGGCAATCAGGGAAAAATACAGGAGAGGAGATGACACGGCGGTAGATATTACATGTTGGCCCTTTAGATCTTTTGTATCTTTCTCAAAAAGAGTAAAGAAAGGATCTGAAGTGATAACAGATGGGCAGCAGCACTAAAGTGACTGATGCCATGTTTGTGGGTGCAAAGAAGCAGACTGCCCATGATGGGGACCACTGCACCTGGAGATGCAGGTGACCCACCTGAAACAAGGCCTCACCACCAGAAGTCTGGTGGACCTCTTATTCTCTCTTAAATCCTTTATATTCCAGTTTTTCCCAAGTCTATTAGGTTTTCCTTTTTTTTTTTTTTTTAAAGTAATAATTTTGTACTGTTTTATATTTTTTATCCGTGTTTTGAATTTGAATACATAATTTGCCAGAAACTTTTGACATATTCCAGTACTTACAGAAGCCAAACGACACACCAAACAGTGTACAGTAGCTTGGATTTACTTCTAGCCAAGCAAGCCATGATGTCCATCTTAACTACTTTAATGGACAAAAATAATCTTACCCTGCAATATAATAGCACAAAAGCATTCAGGCTGCATCTGGGCCTCAGATATCCATTGGCAGCCTCCACCTAAACAAGTGCAGAGAGATGTTATATTGTTATTTTCAGAGCCTGTGCGTTCCATTATTCCTGTCAACAGTCCTGTTTTGACTTTCACACATTTGCTTAATCAGAAACCAATAGAAATACACAACCAGCTGAAGTGGTACACAGGAGAAAAATTTTTTCTTTAAATCGAGGAGTTGCCCAAAATATGGGTTGCAGATCAGGTTAACCCCACATGATTGGTTTCAAACGAACCTATAGCACATATTTCAGTTCAGTAATAAAAACTGTAGCTGGCCAAGATGTGAATGTATTAAAAAAAACCTATAGAGAATAATGATACACTTATTTTATAATAAATCTGACACATTTATTTGATTGGTCAGAACAAAGCACTTAGAGACCTTTTTCTTTCTGTAGTTCAAAACCCCATAAACTGACCCAGGCAGCAAAATCCCTATAAATTTATCACTATTTGAATTTTTGCTAGACTGGCAATTTTCACTAAGAAACTACTGCCATTAACAGTTTCACTGTTTCTATATCCCATTCAAACACAACCAGGACTCCAAAGAGCTGGCAAACCCCAACTCCTGTTGAGCAGCTTCCTGCTGCCCTGCTCCCCCCAGCCCCGTCCCTCCCAGAAGTCAGGGTCAGGACACTGCTCACAAATCGTCTCTGCATCCCTTTGACACCTGAAAACACATGCCAAGTTCTAATTAAGGTTGAAAACCCTGTAGAAATTCAGATTTCTTTTTCTCCTGCCCTGAAAATGCCAGATTGCTCCTGAAGTCTATTTAGAGGGAGTGAAGCTGAGGCTTCTCTAATTAGAGCTGAGCCTCCAGTTATCCCTTCACCCCATATACCATGAGTGAAGACAAGTCTTGCCAGAGAGGAGTCACATCTAGACTAGTCTACCAGCATTATGCAATGAAAGGGGGCGTGCTGTGCAAGGAGGAGTTTCTGCTGGAAAGAGAGACAGCTCAGAGTCACAGCTTCCTCTTCAAGATTCCAAAACTGATGGAAAGATTTGGTTTCCCTAGTACAAAACACTCTCCCTTTGGGGAAGAAGAGGCAGCCCTCTGCTTGGGCTTTGCTGATCTCCCCATTTAGTGGGAAAGCACACAAGATCTGGAGCTTAGGGGGCACCACCCAAAGTTATTTGGTGCTTCTGAGAGCTACCTGGTGAATGACAACATAAAGGGTTCAATGTGTGTGCCCAAGTGTCGAGCAACTGCTGCCTATTAAAGACTTTAAGGAAGGAAATACTTTCCAGACACAAGCCTTTTCTAAGGGAATTGCTAACCCGTAGGATGTCAGACACGTAATGCCAATGCCATAAATGTCACCATACAGCAGTTTTCATTCAGAAAATACATGACTGATGTCAAGAAACCCCAAAGAAATATGTCTCCCTTTTAATTCCTCTTACCCCTGCATCTTTCTTGAGGGATATGGGAAACAGGCTTCAGGAGAGGCTTTGAACAGTCATGCAAAATCAGTTGTCTCCAGATTTCCGAGAGTGGGAAATAGCTAAAAAGTTACCACATCTTTTGGGAGTGCAAGAAAAGGAGTGCAGAGCTAACATATAGCTCCAGCACAGGTCTGGTGCCTTCACAGCCTGGCTCCCCAGCCCACCACACCCCACAGAGCTGCCAGCACAGCCCATCCTTGGGGATGAAGAGTTGGTGGGTCCCAGGGACCTATGAGACTTTTTTACTAGGAAGGATTTCAGAGCAGAAGCCTGGTGGGGGGAAAAAGTCATCAGTGGAGGCAGAAGAGTTGCTGCTTCCTGCAAAATTATTGTACCCCAACAGGAAAGATAAAAAACCCAAAAAGCAAACCTGTTTTTTTCCTATCATGTTTGGGGCACACCCAGCAAAGAGAAGGTGGAGCCAGGGGCATCTTACAAGACTGCATTCAGACAAATCCCAAGGAATAGGACAGCAGGGAAGGCAGCGACCCCTGAGCCTTGTGGTCAGCAATGTCTATTTGCTCCTGTAACACTGAGTTCGGGCTGGGACCGAGCTGCTTTTCCTCAACTCCCCTGGGTCTGGAACCCTGGACAGGATTCCCTTTCCCAGGTCTGGAAAAACTAACCTGTTTTTCTTATCCCTTTTTACTATTTGTTTGTTTTAAGTTTCCCTAAGCCAAAAGGGCTGCTATATTTATCAATTTTGATCCTAGAGGAGTTTCTCTGGAGGTACAGGGTAAGTGGCTACAGTTATGCTTCCACAGCACTGGCACCCTCTGCATAGGGAGATTGAGGTCCTGGTTGATTTTATTTAAATGTCTCCAGCTCCCTTTGTCAATAGGCAAAGATAGACTTCTGCAGGGGTGAGACAAAACAAGATGGACTAAGCACCCCAGAGGTGAGCTTGTACAATGGCTTATAGCAATGACCCTCCTGGTTTAGATGTGTTAGAGAAGTGGGGTTAGATCAGGCTTGAGTTTACTGGCTCAGGACTGCATCCAGGCTTGGGTTCAAGCCTACATCTGGAAGAGGAGTGGTACCCATATTCTTGGAAACTCAGACCAAGGCCTGGACTGAGTAGTCCCTGTTTTTTACTGTGTTACTGTTGCATTTTATGGTCAGCAAGGTGACTTTCTCCCTCCTCACCTCCCGAGATGTGGCTCCCCGGAGTGGGCTGTTTGTACCCCCAGCAGAAAATAAAGAGTCACACCAGCAGCAGAGGGTGTGGGGGCAGACGCTTTTTGGGCATCAGAACTGGCAGTTTTTAGAGCCTCCAAATGAGTAGGCGACTGTGCTGAGGCTCTTTCTCCCACCACAAATCACGAAGCCAAATATCTCAGCTGCACTGCATGTCTGCAGGAGCTCCTCCTCCAGTGCTGGCTGGTGTGGGAAGGGCTCTGTTGGCACACAGCTTGCCCGATCGCTTGCGTGTGTGGTCAAAATTAAGGCAAGCGTGTGTTCAACTCCTGCCACTTGTAACCCGTCTGGCTTCACAAGGATATCCAGAGCACACCAAACATCGGACTGTGAGCACACAGCCAAAACCCCCAGGGATGCTGGCACTTGAAGTTGCAGGGAGCAGGCTGGGAGACGTTGGCACCAGAGGGCAGAGGTCTTCTCTGCTTCATGGAGAAAGGAGGGAAACAAATTAGCTAAAGGTACCAGAAACAGAGGTACCTGTCTCGTACCCTGTAAAAGAAGGGCATTTCCAGCGAAACAGATGGGTTTAAGTGCCATTTAAAGCAACTCCTGCTTTACCCAAGAAAGCCTCACATAAACTTTGCATGTGGATTACGCAAGCAGTTTATACAAGAGAGAGTCTGGCTACGCATCTCTAACATCACAGAAAGCCTTCTTAGTCAAACCTGAACCAGAGAAGTCAAAAAAAACCAGCCCCTACATCCCTGAACCTCAAGCAGTGCTATTGACTTAAGCTGCCTGTGGCTGGGGGCTGTGCTTAGTTCTGTAACTGCTGCTTCTCCCTCCTTTCTCTGCTCCCATCCTTTGATAGCCCAGTCTCAGGGAGAAATTTTTTAGGAACATGTAGCAGCAGGGCTTCATTCTTTCTTGTGAATTGTAAAGACAACCACAAAAGTGCACAGGTGAGAGGTTAAGAGATTTCAGAATAACAATCATGTAAGTAGAAGTTGTCATAAACATTATGTCTCTAAACTGTTCAGAGCCAAGTCACTGATCTAGCAGGTACTGCCACAGTCTCTTAGCACCTTCCCCTACGTTACTTTTCTTCAGGGACCAGAGCAATAAGAGCTAAGCCTTCAGACACTTCCTTTCTCTGCCTCCTTTCTTTTCCAGTCATGCACTGCAGACTAGGGTCATAACCAACATATGCTTTAGACCTGTGAATGGTGAAAAATGTGGAAGATGGGCAGTTGCTCATCACGTTTAGTGAAGAGGCACTAGATGCAGAAAAAGGTGGAGTTATTTGTTCCCTTCCAGTCAAAGCACTACTTAGCAGCCAGAACCTCAAAAATCAAGGCAGTGAAAATGATAAGACAGTCAGACTTTGTTAGAATAATCAGTATGGATAGAGGAAAGATTAGCTTGAATGAAGTTTGGAGAGACTATTATCCTGTCATCCTTACTCTGTACAGGCTAGTCCAACCGCTCAGCTCACACTTCTGCTGCTGCCATTTCAGAAGCTTTGGGAGCAGCCAGGGCTGGTTTTCAATGCTGAGCTGATGGGAGCACACACAAGCAACAGGTGAACACAGAAACGCAGGAGAAATTAAAGTGTTAAAAAAAAAATTAATCCCAAGGATATAAAATATAGTGAGGGAAATAGAGCGGAGTCAAGGCAAGAGGCTTCCAGCAGTGAAAGAAAGGCTGCAGCTTTGGCTCATTGCTTAAACCAGCGCTTAAGAAAGAAAGTCTAGTACTGACAAAAGCGAGGAGGTAGAAGAACACTCAAAATACCTGCTATACTGAAAGCCTGGAAGTTCATCTCCTGCAGAAAAGAGCATTTCTGGTAGCACGCTGCTACATCGGCTTCTACCTATGAATGTTCCCACCACCAGCACTCGTTTACTCCTGTCAGTAGCTCACACCTGAGCCTTTTCCCTGTAAGGACCTACCCCTGTTTCCTGTGAATCTGGGGGGCTGTGCTCACACACTCCTCCTACGGTCAAGTAGGTTAGGGATCAGCTGGCCCTTCATGAACCATACCTGGGAGTAGTCCTTGGACCTCTCCTGTTGTGCTTCAGATGTCATTCCTACCGGCCAGTGCTCTTATAACAGTCTGGAAAGGAAACAAGCAGCATGTTAACATCATCACCTCACTCTTGTTTCCCCCTCTTCAGTTCCTAACAGGGCTGGACTCACACAACCCCTTCTGATCACAAAAAAACCAAACAAACCACCACCACCACCAAAACCAAAACCAAACAAACAAAAAAACCAAACCAAACAAAAAAAACCCCAACAAAACAAAACAAAACAAAAACAAAACAACAACAAAAAAAAAACCCCAAAAAACCCCACCAAAAAACCCCAGCAATCAACACACTTTGTCTGAGAGGGGAGAGAAGCAAATTGGTTTTAACTAGGAGTCCAGATAAACCTGTCTGATCTTTGTTAGATACTACAAAAGATGCAGTGTTAGATCATCACAGAATGGTTTGGATTGGAAGAGATATTTAAAGACCATCTAGTCCAACTCCCCTGCCATAGGTAGGGACATCTTCAACTACACCGGGGTGCTCAAAGCTGCTTCCAACCTACTCTTGAATGTTTCCAGGTATGGGGCATGTACCCCCTACTCTCTGTGCCAGTGTTTCACCACTCTAATTGTAAAAACCTTCTTCCTCATATCTAGTCTAAATCAATCCTCTTTCAGTTTAAAACCATTACTCTTTGCCCCTTTGTACCAGGCCCTGCTAAAAAGTTCATCCCCATCTTTCTCTTAGGCCCCCTTTAAGTACTGAAAGGTCACAATAAGGTCCTCCCAGAGACCTTATTAGGGGAGTGCAAAGGACTGAAATAAACATTAATAAGCCAGCAAAACCAATGAAGTAAACTTTTCTCACACATTTGAAAGAGCCTAAAAAGTGGCTAGAATGCAGTTACTGTAGCAGTGGGATGGGACAGCACTTTATGATACTTTCACAGATGAACAAACTTGTGCAAATTTTCAGTCTTCATATTTCATGTTTCTCAGGCCAGATTTTTGGTGGCTCTTTCTTGGATGGAGTGTTTCCACAGCTGTTCTTGATCTACAGAGTGAGTCCTTCTGTCTGCAGCAGGAAAGTAGAGTGAAAAATAAATAAAGAAATTGCAGGGGTATAACTCTTCTTACCTCAGTGTGGCCACTTCTGACTCATACCCCTGGTGCCAGCGAAACAGGAACTGCGGCTGCATCCTCATAACTGGTTGCTGACTTTGTTCAGAGCTTTGGACAAGGCTGAGAACAGCACTGTCTCTTTCTAAGAGAACAGGAACAGAGTTCTTTCAATGCCTGTGTCTTGTGCCATGCAATTCAGAAATGCAAAAGTGCAAACACCCAACCACCCACTTAAACAACCCAGAGGACCACTACTGAGGAGCTGTAGGGTATGAGTGGAGCATAAGGATGAGGGCAGCGAACTTGGTGAGTGTAAGCTTAAAGTAAATATTTGAACAACAAACTGGAATTCAGCCAGCTCAAGCATTTTATTCAAAAGGAAGGATATGAGGGATAGCCGAAGTTGGCATCAGGGTGATATAGAAAATTCCAAAGGAAAGAAGATAAAATAAACAAGGGTATTCACAGCGGAGAGAGGGAGTTACGAACCCCCTGAAGCTCAGAGAAAAATCTGTTGCAGGTATGTGGGTAAGAGATCCCTGGTTTGAGAACGAAAGTTGTTGCAGTGACTCTGTAAGAAGGTGTCATGGTTTAGGAATGGTATTCCCCAATTTAGTGTTCCCGCTGAAACACCCCAGCCCGCGCAACCCTCGCTCACTTCCCCTGCCCCTCCCCCTGTGGTGGGACGGAAGGGAGAATTGGAGGCACAAAAAAAGTAAAGGTCATGGGTTGGCATAAGAACAATTTACTGGAAACAGCAATGAAATAAGAACACGACCAGCAACAACAACAACACCAACAGCAGAGCGTACGGGAGGGGTGAACGATCCGCGCGCGAGCGCTCACCACGTGCAACCCAACGCTGCCCCAACTGCTCACCCTGCAAAACTGATCCCCCTCCTTCCCCCCTGGCTTGCTGTGAGGTGGTATTGAACAATCCCAGGGTCCTGGCTGTGCCCCTCCTGGCTGCCTCAAAAATTAACCTGGCCCTGGCCAGAACCAGGACAGAGGGGTTTGGGCAAAGCCAGGGAACGACCGAAACTAAGGCGTGAGGAAGGAGGAATGGCTGTTAAATACTCAGCCACAATCTGATATCATTTCAGCATTATGATGGTTTTCAGACCAAAAATAATAGCAAATCTTCCAATTAAGTATGCACGAGGCATAAAACTATTAAAAAAACAAAGTTTAGGCAATAAAACGTTATGTGGAGGCAAAAGAAAACTTTGTAACAAATTAAATCTGTGTTTCTCTGCAGGTACTTGCATAGCACCCAGTGGTTTCAGTGGAGTAGGCATTCAGGCTGCTTATCTTAGCCTGAGACTCTGTAAACAATAGGACTTGGGTTTTGTGTCAGGGAATGATGAACAGGGAATCTCTTCCCAGAGCAAATTCAGCCCCTCCCTTCTAGGCAGTCAGGGAGAACAAAACCGGCTTTCCTACCAGTTGAATTGGAAAAAAATGCCAGTTTTGGGCCTCAGCAATGGTTCTGTTTTGTGGACTTGTTCTCCCTTGTTTGAGAAATAGTGGGGGAACAATGTCCTTTGGTTTCTGGACATATTCCTCTTAGATGTAGAAGGATGGAACTCACAGCCGTTGATGAGGAAGATGGAACATAATCTCCAACAAGAGGAGGAAACACTTGTAGGTTTTTTTTCTTCCAGATGTTCATTCAAACATTTCAGCTAACATAAAAAAAAAAGCTTAAAACAGACTAACCAAAATCACTTTTAATCAGGTTTTGTTTCCATGGCACCTTTGATGTCATAAGCTTAATAGCTCTCCAGTGATCCATAGAGTCTTCCAGGAAAAAAAAAAAAAAAGGCTAAACAACCTGAATGCCAAATGTTGAATATACCTTTAAAAATATCCTTTCTGAAAAGTTTTCAGGCCTCCCTTCTCTTTTAAGTGTGAAGGGAAACCAAAAATCCAACCAGGAATTTCCCACTCCCACAAACAGCATATCACTGGAAATCTTTACACAGCAGTTGGAATGCATGGAGACCTACAAATATATTATTAAACTGCAAAGAAAATGCATTAAAAAGACTGTTATAAAAATGGTTGTAAAGTACCTTTTTTATTTGTTCTACAGATGCAAACTCTCAAGAAACATTTTTCTGTCAGAACTGAAACAGACTGTGATGTTCAGCAGCACATTTCTGCACTAGAGAAACATTCTTGGTACAGTATTTTTGCTCTTTGTCTGATGTTTTTTCCAAGGATTTTCTGATTAATCACAGAGCTGATGGATGATAGCAGTCATGCCCCGCCTGCTACTAACACACACAAGTCTTGCCAGAGGTGAAGTAGATTTAATTTGCTTTTATTTAAAAGTTTTTGCTCAGTAATACTTTCATGGCCTGATCTGGCACTGGTGGTCAAGCAACATTCCCAGTCCCATCAAGATCCTGATCTGACTGTATATGAATCTTTTATATGAATCTTTGGTTTGATGCTTTTCTGGTTATCACTGCAACTGTTTGTAGGGCAACACATCCTTCCACCTGGTGATTTTGGCATGTGTAAGAAAGGGACTAAATCTTCAGGTGACATGGCTTAGGGAAACTTGCTGCTGGAGACATTAAATATCATGAACTATACTAAAAGAAAATATCCTAATCCTGATTAGAAGCTTTTTTTCTTTGAAGGTAGAGTGTAATGATTTTGATGTGCTGATAGTAATACACGCAGCAAAGATCCACCAACTTAACTGGAAGGAACCACTTAAAAATTCAAATTTGTTTAAAAGAAAAGTTGACAAAACTCTCTTTAAGAGATATGAAACATGCATATCAAACAAGATAGCTACAAAACATGATATGAACAAAATAAAATAATTCTTTGAAATAGAAGCCACTGATCAAGTTACTTTTTAATTTACTATTTCTATAACAGAAAAAGTTGTCTTCTTCACACATCTGGGCTTGAATTCTGCAATACAGAATGTGGATGCTGTCAAATGAGCCAACATACTGGCTAACCATAATTTGTAACCCATTCAGCAAAATAAATAAACTTTTCATATGGAGATAATGATCATATTTTAAAAGGATAAAATTTAATAGAATTTTAAGCATAACTTAAAAATTTGATGTTTCCTCTACACATGGAAGGGATTGAACTAAAAGCACAATACTGGTGAATTACTCTGGACTTCTGATGAACTTAACAGAGAATGTAACAGAGTTTAGTGTGCCTTAAATCACCTGTATACATTTCAGAATTTGGCCCTATCACAATTTCTCTGATACAAAATGTAGCGGCTTGTCTATTTTTCGTCTAGAATGGTAAGATAATAAATTAAGAAATAGATTAAAAAACCCTTCAACAACAACCCCCTCACATATTTTTATTTTATATTATTACATATTTGGGTTTTTGTTTGGGCCACGGGCTTGTTTGTCTCTCTAAACTTGTGTCATTATTGAAAAGATAAAGTATGTTGCTACAGTGTATTAAAAGACAGAAAAAAGCCTTTCTCATACTTTGATAATACTTTTTTCTTAACTATCTTGCGTGGCTTGGGTTTTGCATAATGAGAGAGATTTATTTAGATATATGTTTATACACTCATGTATTTATAGGTATTTATATTCAAAATTGTGTTTTGTACAAAACACCAGCAATTTTCTCACTGGGAATTGTTCCAGCTGAAGTTCCCCAGCGAACCACATAGACATTCATGTACAGAGCCATGTTCAAGTTATAATGTGTTTCTATTTATCCTGCTCAAAACCTAATATTTCCAGATAAAAGAGATTGACAGACACATAAAAGACCCAATCAGTGCAGATATATGAAGTGTGGTATGAACTGGAGCTTGCTTAACTCCCCTTGTGGAAAGCCTCAGAAAGGTGCTTTCCAAAATACTCTTGGATATCAGAACGTTCCTTATGAATTACTTTATAAGAGGAGGATGATGAAAAATAATATTAAATCCTGTAGCTGATATTGGGAACAACTGACTGTTGACCTGGGTGTAAGCTGGCTGTTGATATGCCTAAAAGCTGTGTTAGATATAGCACTGACAAGGCAAACCCAAGCGAAACATGTCTCCCTGTTAAGTTAATAATAAATGCATATAACTTTAAATCTTGTGCAGTTATACATATCTATCCTGTATCTGGAAAGTGAATCCCTGATTAAAGACAGGGACCAGGATCTGTAGGGATCCAGATCTGCGACTGGAGCAAGTGGAAACCACAAATAATTCAGAATTTTTCAGAGCATGTTGTTATCATCACTACGCACACTGACATCTGCACACACTGACTTACACTAACTTCTTCTCTTTTTTTTTTTTTTTATTTTGGTAATTGGAAATAAAACAGAATGTTTTAAAGAAAAAAAATGTCTTACTGAAAGCTGTTAACTTTTCCATCTTGAAAATATTATCCTCCTTTTTTTCTTCTTAGTTATGATTTCTCCTTCCTCAGACTTGTCTTAGCCACTTTCTCCCTCCTGCTTGCTTTCTGTCTTGGAGACTAACAGGTCTCAGGAATGAACTTCAGAGGAGTCTGAAAGAAAAATATTTCTTCCAGATTGGCTATTTTTTGATTAAATCCAACAAATACATATTGCAGGCAGTTCAGAAAACTGGCCATAAAATACACACTCTTTCATCTCTGTGCTACCCTTTCAGCTGCAGATGCAAGCAGTAATAATCAGAAGCTGGCAGTGAACTTCAGCCTGCTTCACTTTCTTGAGGATCCACGACTTCTTTTTGCAACACAAGTTCACCCTTGTCACAAGAAGATATTCTTACAAACATACCACTTTTTTCCATTCTTCCATCTCTCGATTGTTCTTTTGGTGTGGATTTTGTTCGATTTTGGTTTTTTGTCTTTAGAGCCCATTGTTTTTCTTCTTGATTCAAATTCTCTCTTAAACTGATCAGTCAATCACGTTCTGTTTTCATAGTAAGTGATGGGATTCCAGCACCTTTTCTCTCTGTATCATCTACATAAGAGCAATTTTTTTCTCCCATAGCATGTTCCTTCTGAAGAGCCCAACTCAGTCTGCAGCAATGGTTTACCTTAAAAATCTCCCTCTTTCTCTCCTCTTATCCATTCTCCACCCCTTCCTCCCCTCCATCCAATCAGCAGAGGAACTCCAGTATTAAAGATAACCATTTTTTTGAAACTCACTCAGCATTTCTGCCCAAGTTAGGTAAAGAATATAGGTTTTCTATTCCCATTTTTAAGTTGTATCTTTAAACTACTATTTCAGCAGCTTTTTACTTTACCTGTTCCAGGGATCCAATTTCTCTTATGTTTAATTATCTTCTGTCCTTCAGTTCAGCATAAGATCAAATATTCAAAGGTACCAAGTAGCTCCCTTTCATTCCAGATTTACATCACAGTAATAGAGAAAACTCTGGACTCAAAGCCCCAATGCAGTGTCTTTGCCACTGATTTTATTGTTATTTGCATGTACTATACTACAGTGTCTGATAAAAAACACGTGTTTCTGATTTAGGCAGTGGCCTCTAACTCAGAGTCAGCTTTTTCTTCCACAAACACATAAAATGCACATAAGGAGAACATAAAGGCCATGGCTAACATAAAAGTGAGCTGAACTGCAGCAGCTTTAGACTCAGCAGTTTCTTATTGTTCCACTTTTGCAGCTCAGTGGCCAAGTGAAAGACAGAACACCCCGACTGCACTGCAGCCCGGGCGGGGGCTCGGGAGTCACAGAGCATCACTCACCAGAGAGAACTCAGAACAAACCCACAGCTTGTTGTTTGTTTTGAATTTAAACAGAGCAGAACAGCAAACACTCAGCTTGATGCACCTCAGTCCAAATACTTCTTCATTGTTCTGCATGAATATCATGTACAGGATTGATCCCACCTCAGCACTTCAGCTTTAGAAGAGCAACTTGTCTAATGATTACAGCAAGGAATGAGGAGCTGAGAACCCTAGGTAGTGGTCTTAGCTCCGTTTGAAATTCCTCCACAAAAAAAGAAAAAAAAAATAAAATCTAAAAACAAGCAAGAATCTGAAGAGTTCCTGGCAGGGCACTCCACTGAACCCTGGAGCGAGCTGTGATTTACACCAGCTGGTGCTCTGACCAAGGCTCTACTTCTCCTGCTTCAGAAGCCCTGTTTTATCTACTCTCCTAGTAGGAAGAATCTCTGTTTGTGCTTCTTTCCTTAAACTTGTTAGTTTGAGCAAAAGTACAAGCTGGACACTCTCCTGGGGGAATGAGACAAAAAACTCCCGTGGGCAAGAGGGGTCAGTCTGTGCTTCTAGCTCAGACCTGCAGTGTTTATCAGGATGAAGAACTGAGTGCTGCATCCTGCCAGGAGCTTCCTTTTAATTGTGGAACTTGAGCATGGTGAGAGAATTCTTTTGAGTGAGACCTTTACACAGGTACTCAAAACTAACCATTAATAATGGGCCAAATTGAATTGAACCTAGACTGGTTTACTGCTACTAGTTTCACACTCCCAACACTTTACAAAAGCTAGAGTTTAAATAAAAGCTCTTTGTCTGACTCGTGATGGCTTCAGCCTGTACAATACCTGAATGCTCTCCAACTTCATTAGTCTGGCTTTTTTTCGTAGGTGTTTAATTTGATGTATTTTTGCTGTGTTCTGATGATATTACAGTAAATCATGAAGCATTGCACTGGCTTTTTGGTGATGACCATCCAGCAAGTCTGGTAAAAAAAAAAAAAAGGAAAAAAGAAAAATCACAAGGTAACAGGCTGCTGGTTTTTTAAGTTCTTCTATGCACAGGATTTCAGCCACGTAACTTCTATCCATTTTAATGGCCTTACATAACAAAAACCCTTTTCATGTGTTTGGTCTGGTACTTATAGCACTGTACTGTGTTTGTGGGCCTGTTTGTCTGCACAACAAATACTCCCTAAAACGTGCTTGGGGGTCTGAATGAGAAGAGGGAATGAATTATCTTAGGATGCTCTTTGTGGCTGCTGTCTCCAGTTGTCCTTCGAGCATCTCTGCAGAGGTGCCTCAGCTGGTCACCAGTTTGCAGTTCAATCACACAATCAAGTGTGTGATTGAAATCCAGGCTTGGTACAAGTTCTCCTCAACACAGACTCCAGGCTGTGAGTAGCTGCCATGTGGAGAGATGAGACACCACTGCAGCAAGGGTGGGTAGAAGGGCAGCGTGGACTTCTGCCTGAAAAATCACTGTTCATCACAGATTAGGACATCTGTGTTTATCAGTCACAGCCCTTTGGGTCTTACTTGTCATTTAACCTACTTTTACACAGGTCCAGAGGTCTTTGGGTAGCTATAAATAGGAATTTAGCTATGGTAAAGCCCCTTTACTTTGCTAAAGAGGTGAAATGAGGTTCATTGTGAATAAACACTCAGGTGAAAGCTTCTCAAAAGGCACAGTGTTTGGGATTGTTGACAATAGATATAATTTAAATTAGTGTGTTTTTTTTAAAATCAGATTGTTTTGTTCTCTGTGTAAGGGGCGTGCAAAACATGATTAGGTCACTGAATAATGGTAGATTTGGTGGCATTTGCTTTTTTTGGATGGGTGCCTAAGTAGTCTAAATCATATATACACATGCTGACATCACTGGATGTGAGATTACAGAAATGGAGACTTACATATGCCTTTTTAGTAATTAAAATTTCTATTGTATTTGGTGCCTTTATTAGGAATCCCTGAGCCCTCTTAATTCCCATGGTCAGAGTCTCTGCTGCCTATTGTTAATATTCTTTCAATGTAAAAACATTTTCACATCACTTTAAGGATCTTATGTGAACAATACCCAAATAAACACAAAATAGTGAATCATTATAATTTCTGGACACTTCACAGGCAAGTAGTATGAATTCAGGTCATGGAGCATAGTGAATTTATGGGGATTCTATGCTGGCTCGTAAGACCAAATAAACGAAAAAATAAAGTAGATTGCTTTAGCTGATCTGCAAAGAAAACTTTGAATACTTCCTTTGCATTTTGTTTACCAGTGAGTTTCAAGCAGATGTGTCCAGTCCCTCTCATTTGCATTTCAGCACTGCCATGTTGCTGTGGCTGGGATAAGCAGAAGGAAGAGGCCATTCATGTAAAAAAAGGGCAAATTCAGTGTTGTGAAGAGGTGACAACGGGCTGACCCTGTCACCTGCTCCACCTGCAGCCTCTGAAGGCTGGGTGAGGGCACTGGTGAAGTGACTGATTGAAGAGGTGAACAATGCACCAATATACCCAACACCAGTGTATTTGGTATTATGGTTCTTACCCCACATCCACCTTGCTAAACTGTCTATGCACCAAACTGTCCATGCAATCCAAGTGGTGTGGTTTGGCTCCTGCTTCTCCTCTGATCTCACAATGCCCCAAGGAAGAGCCTTGATGTTCCTGGCTTGGTGGTAACTACACTGAATGCTATATTTAATATAATTTCTGTATTTCAAACTGACAGAAACCCAAAATCTCATAATATTACTGAAAGTAGGATATTTGAATAGGCAAGAAAGGAGGAGGAACAAGAACTTAGTATGTACTGCAATTAATTAATTATGTACTGCAATTAATTAAAATCATTAAGTTATACCTAACACTAAGTTTAAATTAGATATCATTGTTAATTAACACAAGTGGAATAGTTTTACTGATTTTTTGTATTTATTTAAGTTTCATTCCTCTCACATTTTTCTCGGCAGGTGTCTGAAATGTCTATCAGACTAACTTTTGTCTTTTACCCTGCACCACTCATAGATTATTGTGTTTCCACCAACAAAAGACCAGTAGTTGCCATAATAAATCAACCAGATACTACCTCTGGAAAAGGCAAGTCCCAGTTATTAGTCACTGACCTGTTTACATTTTACCTTCCGAAATTGAGAGGTGTCATGTGAGCTGAGATGAGTCCTGAAATGTTTTGCATTGTGGTTTTAGGAGTGGATGATCTGTTAGGTCTTTGCCTGCAATTCCTGGTAAGACAGGGCAGGCTCGACACGCTCAGCTCCAACACACTACAAATGTTTTGTCGCAGCCAGTAGGACAGACCTGCAAACAAAGATGTAACAATGCCACATTTTTCTTTCAGAAAGGCTCCACTCTCTATGTTCAACAATAACTCCTGAAGTCTGACATATTCCTATGAAAACAAATGGTCTTCCCTGGTTTGCAGACTCCCCCAAATACGCTGTACATCTGCCCCAACAATGAGTACAAAACTTCAGTTACCCGGAGAACAAGTCAGAAAACCAGATGAAAGCAAAGAGGTTTGGATTCCCTGAAGAAACAATCCTGCGGTATTTTCTTGTTTTGATCAAAACCGAAGTATTTTGATGAACAGTATTTTAAATAACACAGGGGGAAAAAATCTGTTACTAAGTAAAATCTCCAACGTGCGAAACTTTTTTTCTCCCCCGAAGAGTTGCATTTCTTTTGGCATTGGCTTACTTTCCCAAAGAGCCAGAAGTGATACCAAACAGTGTGAGAGCGTGTTGAACACATTTTTCCAGGTGCCTACAGACACAGCATCATCCTGCAAAGCGTTTTGCTGGGGAGGTTTCAACACTGCATGTTTCTGCAACATTTTCAATGGCAGCATCTGGATACAGACCATATGGCCAGCTTCCTCACCCTCCTGAGAAAGGCTGAGTGACATTCCTGGTTAGAACTTCTATTGGTGAAAACTGCAGAGCCGTGTTCCCAAAACTGCTCACAGATGACTCTCACTTTTGCCAGATTTTTCCCCCAAATTCAAAAGAAACCATTCCAGGGTCAGAGAGTTTTAGTTGTACAGGCTTTAAAAAGCTCAAAATCAAAGTGAAAATTTTCTTGTTGAGAGAAATATTTTGTCCAGTGTGAAACATACTAAGTATTAACTTTGCAGTTCTTTGATTTTTAATCTTTTTTTTTATGTGAATGAGCCAGCAACTCCAGAATCAACCTCCTTAAGGTGAAACTTGCCTTTTCCAAGACAACTTCAGAGGCAGAGAAGATGCAAAGCAAGTGTTCTCAGATTGCTGAGGTGACCTAAAAGCAGTATTATTTTTCTTTACCTCAGGCAAAAATACACACCAAAACACCTACAAATATGCCTTTGCACACCATGCAAATGCTTTGGGGTCAGGTGAGGGCTCTGGAGAAGCACAAAAACATAATTTCTCTAACCCTTCTCCCTTTGACACAGCCAGGCTTCCTGCCTCACCTGTACCTCTCTGCTCCCTTCAGTGTAAATGACTGGGAGAGGTGTTTTTGCTGAACCTGGAGTCCTCTTGGGCAACCAATGTTCTGATTAAATTTATGAGATATGTTGCCATACCCCTCGAATGTTCAACTATAAAGGGGAAAAAACAGTTTCTTATTACAGAGATTTTGATATAATACAAGGCTGTCCGGCCTTAGTCACTCCTTGTTCATTAGTGTGACAGTTCACCATGGGAATGGGAAGTGCTCAGTCCATGTGGCATCCATTCCTCCTTCCCAAGGTTAAGCTGCCCACAGGTGGAGTCCCTGCTCGTCACACAGTGCCAGCAGTAGCACAGGTAAAGGCAGAGCCAGGAATAGCACTGGCAGAGAGCCATCATTAAAGGAGAGAAAAGAAGCCATGCTGACCCAAGTCATCAGGTGACTAGGCCACTAAGATAAATGGAAATAAGTGTATTTCTTACACAGATTGCTTCACCGTCTGCTCGCCAAGGTTCAGCACTGGCTTCCCACATTGTAACCAAATTGGAAGTGGCAGAGCTCAAAGGAGCATCTCCCAAATTGTGGTAAAGGAAAAAGACATCCTTCTCTTTGCTGCAGCACATTTACCTCCCTCCATCTCCTTTTTTCTATTCAACTTCTGTATTTATTTCCTCACAAATGTTGTGGAAGCAAGGCTGTGCATTAAGCAAATTCACTTCTCTTTGGATATTGTGTACACAGACTTCCACTTCTTCAGATATCATATCAGAGTAGTCCCATTATTTTCAGATTTGTATCCCTTATCTATCACCATGATATCTGATGAGATAATCCAGTGGGCAAACCTGATCAAAGCCCAGGCTTTTCCCTTCCCCCAGCACAGGGGCACAAGCACATATATCTGCGTTCCAGCTCATTTACCAACATAAAAGCCAAGCATTTTACATGTAGGATCCGGAACCATCATTTTCTAATGTCAAAGGTCACATGAAATACCTCTTATGTTGTCTCAGCCTATTTCCTGGCATAGAGTTGTAATCTCCGAGAACACATAAATGTTTCAGTATTAGTACTAAGAAGCCACATGAGGGAGCATTTGGAGAATTGAAATGCTTTCCTTGTATCATTGTAAATAAGGGAGGGAATCAAACTTGATACCTCTGGGATATATGGAATTCAGACAAATCTAGATGTTATTATTCATTTCTCCTCTCATACAGGGATGCGGAAATTGTGATTCCCACTGAAAACAGAGCGGTTTTTTTTCTTTAAAAAAAAAGGCCATTAGTGGTCTGAAACAGACAGTTTCTTACTCTTGCCAAGGTATGCTGTGACTGGTACACCTGAAAGGGAGCACAGACAAATGGGTTTACATTTCAGCTAAATGAAATTATAAGACACTCTGTGCAGGTTATTCCAGGCTGAGCGTGACAGCGGTGCCAGCTTTCCCAGATTATCAGCAGCCTCAGATGACAGTGGCAGGGAGTGGTAAGGTCCCAGTTCCTGCAATCTTCTGACTAGCAAAAAG